ACTCCCTCCACATCAGTTCAGACTAGAGACTGACACTGGAGTGGATTTTCACTCCTGTCCCGTCCCACTCCCACAGAAAAAAAATGTGTGCTGTCCCAATCCCGGGCCAGAGTAGAAAATAAAGTCCTGTCCCTTCCCACTCCTGGTATAATTACTTCCACTCCCATCCCGCTCCCATTCACAATGACTCCCGCTCCTGCACCACTCCCATTCCTTTATTAAGATTTCTAGCAATACACTGAACCGGATTTTCTTATTTAAGTTCCTGTTTTTTGGCTGTAGTAAAGGCCAGTTAAAGTAAGTGGAATAATGATAAATAATAATAAAAGTAAAAAAAACAAGGAAACAGACCATGCCTAGCTTAGTCGAATAATAAACAAAATGTACAATGTTGCCTTTTACTAATTTATTAAGTCATTGTTTCACATGAACAATAAAGTTACTTTTATGTTTCAAATTTTTGAAACTACTTAATTAATAAAGTGCATAAAGGCAATACTTTCACAATTTAGATAATGCACTTCATTAGTTCAAAAACCCAGTTTTGTAAAAGAAAACGTTCAATATTGTACAAGCATATTAGTATTTGTACTTTTGCAAGAAATATCCACAAACTAATTAGGGTTTACTCTCAGAACCAATATACTTCCATCAAACATTAAACACATTCTTGGACAGACCTCTCAGCTTTTATCTAAAATTCTGAGTGAGATTATGTTAATTTCGGAAACTGGAAAGAGCTGGTCCAGTCAGCTCTGTCTCATATTTATCCGAAAAAGTGAAAGAGAAGTGTTAAGATGTTGTTCAGTTAGTGAGTTAAAACAGAAAAAATAACACAACTGTTCAAATAATACTGAATAAAATAATAAAGTAGTTTTAAGTTATTGGGCGTATTATTACACTGTTGCACATTGGATAATGATTCCAGGAAACACGTTTTACAAGCAGGTACTGAATGTTAACACCGTTACATTCAACTCTCGCCAAGTTTGTTAATATTTGCAACTTTCCAGTCAGCTCTGTGATTTAATAGCGGCGGCGACCCTACAATTTCTTTTTCTCTATTTTATTTTATTTTTAAGCATCGATCCTAGTTTATTGTACCTGCTATTGGTTTACTCCCGCTCCCATCTGCTCCCGTTGATATTTAGTCCTGTACCGTCCCAATCACATGATATTTATGTTGACTCCCATCCCGCGGGAATACACTAAATATACGACTCTGGTTAATTCACCGACCAAATCTTCCTTTCTTTGAACAAAAAAGTTCTATGAATAACTTAGCCTACCTGAAAATCTCAAGTTCGCCAATCTTCTCAAATGGAGGGAAAAAGGCTGTGCACTTGAAGAAAGGGATAGGAAACCCCGTACCGTAGTAGGCGTGTCCATGAACATGAGCAGTGCGCATGGCCATGAGTTCACAGTTGAGGGAACTTAAAAAATCTTGTATAGGCGATTTAAAACTCCTTGTTAAACCAACTTCTGGGAATTTGAGTCGGGCAAACATGTATTTATTTGTTAGATGTCAAATTTATATTTCTGAGTCGAATTACAATACAATTGTGTGTTAGAACAACAATTGCCATTTACTTTTTTAACAGTGTGTTCTTCGGCTGCCGCCTCTAGTCTGGGGCCTGGAGGAAGAGCGAGCCGCCTGGTCTGTGGTCTTGGCGGGGGGCGGCTGCGGGGCCAGGGTGGCCTGCCAGTGGCGGGGCTGTCACTTCTGCTCTCCCCAAAGGAGGATGGAGGGAGGAGTATGTAGTGGCTAGGTGAATTAGAGGGGGTGGGAGGGCTCTGAGTTGGGTCTGAGACTGAGTTGTTTTTTTTTCTCTCTGTCCTATTTACATTGCAGTGTCCATATAATCTGTAAAACTCCCTGCATAATTATAATAAAGCAATGTATATGCATAAATCAAGCAGAACAATATGGCGATAGCCGAACTGCTCCAGTTGTGAGACAGGACACTGTAAAAAGTATCTGTTGAAGGTTCCACTCACTCGTTTTCATACCAGAGGTGACCGGTCCTTTCAGGCTGTTGCTCCCAGGCTTTGGAATGATCTTCTGCCCACATTGAGCTCTATTGACTCTTTGTCACCTTCAGGAGCTTAATTAAGACCCATTTATTTGTACAGGCTTTTAATTAACTACCTTTTGGGCTCCTATGATTTCCTATTGTCTTGGCCTTTTATATTGTTTATTTTCTGATGTCTTTAAACTGTGCAGTGAAGCACTTTGTGGCTTTGGTCTTTGAAAGGTGCTATAGAAATAAAGCGTACTTACTATAACTTAGGCCACATGTCTCATATTTAATAACCTTTATTCAATTAATTACTATTAATCAATGATTTGAAGTGTGACTCAGCAGATTTTGTCTAATATGTATATAAATAAAATGATTAACAGAGAGAACTAACTTGTCTTCTTTACTTCCCACAAAAAACATGAACCAAACAGGACTTAAATTAAATGTTTTTTTTTTTATCCATATGAAGAGCTACATTTTCAATGATCTCCTGCCACCTGGTGGCCATAGAAGGCATAGCAGGAAGCCATGTTCAGCTGGTTTAAATACATTTGAAGGGAAGAGAGATAAGATAGGACTTTATTGATCTCACAAAGGAGAAATTCACTTGTTAAATCAGCTCTAATAAACAACAGGAGGTGAAAAAGAAGGAAAAGGTGAATCAACGAAGTAATTATACAAAGTCAGGCTAAACAAACTAAGCAAATATAAACAATGAATAGGTAAAAATTAAAAAGAGAGATTTAAGGCGTCCTATTTACAACAAAGTGATTTTATGTACATTGAGGTACAGTCTGCTGCAGAGGGTGGAAGGTGGTGTCCATGATGGATGGGAGCTTCACCAGCACCCTCCTCTCAGCCACCTCCTCCACAGAGTCCAGAGCGCAGCCCAGGACAGAAGTGGCCCTCCTGACCAGCTTGTTCAGTTTCTTCCCGTCCCGCTCTGTGCTGCCAGGGGCCCAGCAGACGACAGTGTAGAGGAGAGCTGAGGCTACCACAGAGTCATAGGAAGTCTGAAGCAGAGGCTGGCTCACTCCAAAGGACCTCAGTCTCCTCAGGAGGTGGAGGCGGCTCTGGCCCTTCTTCTGCAGGGCGTCGGTGTTATGGGTCCAGTTCAGTTTATTGTTGAGGTGAACACCCAGGTGTCTGAAACTCTCCACAGTCTCTATGTCCTGCCCCTGGATGTTCACAGGGGGACTGAGGCTTTTTACTTTCTATTAATAAGAAACATCTGGATGTTGGAGAATATGTTTATTTCTATTTCATTATATTTACATTATTTATATTTACACAAGAAGGATATTGTTGAGTGAAATATTACTGAGTGAATAATGAAAACCTGCAACACTCATTATTTAAAGTTTATTAACTATAGAAAAACAAGAAGAAATGAATTGCAGCTATAAAAGCAGACAGAGAGCTCAGACCTCCACCAAATCCAGAGGATGGTTCACATCAGCACCAGAATCTAATCTTCTGTTCTTTGTCCTAATTCACACCTGGTCTGAACATTTGATCCAAATCCATCCAGAACTATCTGAGTTCTATTGCTAACAGACAGACGGACAAACAAACGCTGACAAAAACAGAACCTCCTTGTTAAGATCCAGGTTAGTTTGTGTTTGGTTGTTTTTTCTTTCTTCTAGCAGTTGGTGGCCACTAGAGGGCGCTATTGGATTGAGCTCTGCTGCCTCTGCACACACCTGCTCCTTGTTAGTCTCATCAGGAGCTTTGGAAGAAGAGCAGCCTGCCAATCATTAGATGCTGCAGTGTTATCCTCTGTGGTTCCTCTGGCTCTCTGTGTTTCTGTTCTTTGCATTTCATGTTGCTCTAAGCTAAAGCTTAACTTCCTTCTCTTTGTTCCCCACAAGGTACCATGACTGGCAGGACCTTTAGCTCTTCCTGCTTCTGTTGCTCACCTGAACCTGTCTGCCCTCAGACATCTGCCCCAACTGCTCCTCAACCATTAGATCCAAAGAAAGAAGCCATCAGAGGACAAACCCCCTGGATCCAACCATTCTTCCTTGGTGCCATTTTCTCCACTAAGCTCACTTCCTCTGACAAGATTAACTCCACATCAATCCTTCCTTTGACTCACCATCATCTTCCTCTCTTCAGTTTTGTTCCTGACCTCCTGTTCTCAGACCTCACCTCCTGGACCTGAGCTCAACAATTCAGTGATCTGTGAAATAAAAGTGAACTTTTTCTCTTGACTCCTGAGTTTCTCTGCTGGTGGAGGAGTGGAAGGATCTGGAAGACAAAGAAGTCCAACAGCTCAATCATAGTGTGAAATGTTCCAGTCTTCATCTGAAGCTGAATCTCTGCTCAACTTATCTTCTGCTTTTCATACCTTGGATCCATGTTTGGTTCCTCACGTTGCCGCCCTCATGCTTAACTTCACAGATGTCTTCATAATTGTAGAGAGTCTCATCATTAACCATCCGGACCATGGCAGAACTTTGTGACCCGCTGACCTCCACCTGTCTCTCCTCAGCAGGGGGCCGCTGCTCCTGTTGGCTGTTCTTCTCCTGTCTTTTCCAGGAGATCTGGACCACAGGAGGAAACATGTCTGAGTCCATTTCAGCTTCTTTATTGTGTCTCTAAAGCAGCACAGCAGCGCCATCTTCAGGTTGTTTCCATCATTTCCAGTCCAATAACAGATAACAGTCTGTGTTCCTAAATTCAGCTCCAAGCTGAATGTGTTTGTGGGAACATGAATGTTTTTTAGTGTTTCTGCATCATGTGAGGCAGATTTTTTCCATCTGCTGTCAGATTCAAATCCAGACGATGAAACCATCCAGCAGCTGGAGCTGAGCTGTCAATCAGCAGCAGCAGTCTGATCTGTGGGCTGCAGGGGCTGATGGGAGCTTTGAGGAGCTGTTAGAAACCACGTGGCCCTCGTCTGATCTAGCAGCTCGTCCTTGTTTGGCCTCAGCTGCATCAGAGCACCACTTCTCCCCAGGTTCACCAGAGGAAACACCACTGCACAAAATGCTTTTCCTCCCAGCTGCTGCTCTGTGCTGTCTGTGTTCAGGTGAGTGTTTCCAGCCAATCAGGAGCCAACAAAGTCCACCTGGAACAAACACTGTCCCACTAACCTTCATCTGTCTGTCTGTGTCTCTACAGCGCTGGCTGCCATGGCAACACAGCTGAGTCAGGATTTAACTCTGACCAGGAGAGTCGGTGACAGAGTCTCCCTCAGCTGTGGAGGAACTGATCAGTGTGATGATTATATATACTGGTACCAGAGGAAAGAAAATGAAACATTCAGACCAATTCTTTATATCTACAGTGATGGTAGCACAGATAAACCTTTCAATCATCCTCAGCAAAATGATTTCTCAGCTGAGAGAAATCAGAAAAGCTGTACACTGAAGTTAAATCCTGTTAAAATCGAACATATAGCCTCCTACTACTGCGGCTGTTGGAAGTCTGGTTCCCACAGTGAGAAATGATCCCTGCAGCCTGAACAAAAACCTCCAGATGAACAGATGTCAAACAGTGTTTGTGACGAGAAGAGAGCAGTAAACCACAGCCCAGGTTCACTGGTTTCACCTCCATCTCAGAGACTCACTGAGATCAGGGAAATCCTTTAGTCTTCTAATCTTTCATTATTTTATTGTATTTATTTCATAATTAATGATTTTATTTGTATTGTAACAGTTACAGGATAAGCAGAGGTGTCAAGTAACGAAGTACAAATACTTTGTTACTGTACTTAAGTAAACTTTTTAGGTATCTATACTTTACTCCATTACTTATTGTTCTTCCTACTTCTGACTTCTACTCATTACATTTTCACACCAGTATCTGTACTTTCTATTCCTTACATTTTTAAAACAAACGTTACTCGTTACTCTTGGCTTCGGTTTAATGCAGAGGTCACAGATTAGCGGACCGCGGTCCGGTGTTATGCTGAAAAGTGCATGCCTGCTGAGATATGCATCCTCAATCACGGGAGCGCGCTTCGCTGAGGATTAAAATATGACCAATGGAGCTACTTGTTATATTAGTGATATAAAAACGTTTAAATATTCCTCTCGTGGGGGAAATTTGTGTTTATTTGGCAGATTCATTTAGAAAAGTACGGGTGTTATGAACAACATTAAATCCAAAGATTTTGTCCGAGGTACGGCTGATTTATTTGTTGTAGTCTCTTGTTATTCACACACAACAATAAACAGTGATGCTGACGGGAGTTTGGAAACTGCAAAGCTTTGTCTGCAGCGGAAAATCAAACGTGCATCTACACAGCACAGCGTTCACAGACCAGTGTGATGCATTCATGAGCGTCAGATAGCCATGGTGCATTCAGGAGCATGGGACATTTCACACTTACAAGGAAAGAGACATAATTTGAACAGAACTTAACTCAGACAATAATGTATTTATTCAGAAACAGTGTGGTCTTTCTTACAATACTAAATGCTCTATAATTGTATTTCTGTTATTTTTTATTATGCACATCTGCTAGCTTTTTATTCTAAAAAATCCATAATATTACAGAATCAAATGATCAAAGTTTTTCAAAGCCTGTTTAAAAGCTCCAAATGAGGCTTCAGATCATACAGCAACAATTACGCTGTCATTGTTTTACAGGCAGAATGAGCATTTGCTGACCTTTGACCTTTAACTACTGATGGATATACAGGAATACAGTCATACAAGGTTCAACTCCTCTGAGATAGCACGGCATGCTATGTTTGGCAATTTCTATTTTTTTATTTTTAAATTTAAAAAATCATTGTATAACATTAATGCATAAACACCTCATTTTATTTCAGTGTTAAATTCTGCTTAAAGTAACAGATCATTAAAATGTCTCTGGACCTTTACTGGTTGATGATTTTCTTTATTCAGCCCCCGCTGATTGTTATAAATATTTATTTCACATCATGTGCGCCAACCTATGCAGATCATTGGCTCCATCCACATCTAGTGAAAACTAGTGAATCTAATGAAAGCATCACACTGGTCTGTGAACGCTGTGCTGTGTAGATGCACGTTTGATTTTCTGCTTAAGACAAAGCTTTGCAGTTTCAAAACTAACGTCGGCATGCATATCTCAGCAGGCATGCACTCTTTCAGCATAACACCGGACCGCGGTCCGCTAATCCGTGACCTCTGCATTAAACCGAAGCCAAGAGTAACGAGTAACGTTTGTTTTAAAAATGTAAGGAATAGAAAGTACAGATACTGGTGTGAAAATGTAATGAGTACAAGTCAGAAGTAGGAAGAACAATAAGTAATGGAGTAAAGTATATGTAACCCACTTCAAGGTATGTACACCAGGGTTCCTACAGCATAAGGCAAGTTAAATTCAAGACTTTAATGCCACTTGAAATAAAAATTTAAGACCAAATTCACAAGAAACAAGAAAAACCTGCTTGCGGCAACTTAACCCTAAAGGTTTATTTTAACATAAACCACTGCACTAATGGTTCAAATGTTGAAAAGCTTCCCATACAGGAAGAAAGCTAAAAACACACAAATGACAGATATATTTGAACAATTATTTTACTGAATTCAAACTTTGTTTTAGCAGGGAACAAAACAAATCAGTTTTAAAGCCACATCATAACCAGTGCTAAGTCTTTTTTGCAGCTATTTTTCTTTGTATGGTTTTCTTAGTATGTTTTTTTTGGTGATAAGTGGAGGCGTTGCAGAGACAAGGGTGGAACTAAACTGAGAAATACCGGCTGTTTCTCGGTAACTCCATTTTGACGCTTTGTGTTTCGTGCTTCGCATGTGCGACTCCACTGCCTTAATTCCCATCGTTCTGAGCTTGAATGACTTCTTGCACTAAATCCACTGAGCCTCATGTCTGTTCCCTGGTTTTAGCCATGGAGAAAACTCTTGGCTGGAGACAATTATCGTTACATTTACACTTGCTCATATTTTCCAGACAAAAAGTTAATGGTACATCTCCCAAACGTCCCGGCCGCAACAACGCTTTATTGGTTCCGCTATCGGGTAGGAACCAATAATGGCGAGCCGTTATTTTTTTTTAAATTGTCAATTTTAACGTTTTATTTAGATTACAAAAATAAATCGTAATAAAAATAATCCTATTTATGATGTTTTAAAAATTAAGACCCGAGAAAGGTTTAAGACATTTTAATACCAATTAAGGCCTTAGTTTTATTTTGAAGAATTCAATGCCTTTTAAGACTTTTTAAGGACCCCGGGAACCCTGGTACATGTCACAGACGAGGAGCTGAGAGATGCAATAACCAAACACACAGGTGGTTGCAGTTATTGTAGATTTTAGTTGCCAAAAAGAACACTGCAACATAAAATACAACACACAATAATAATAACGTAACCTTTGGGCCCTTTAACTAAGAAAGTAAAGTGTCTCTTAGAGAGTATGATTTTCCTTTGTTCCTTCCTGAGAGCGGTTGCTCTTAGTTCAATCAATGGCAGTTGACTGGCACGATCATACCAGAGACAGATTGGTGGTCCGCCGTATGGTGGTGTGGAGACTGGATTCAAGCGGGGAGGCTCGCCATCAATGGGTCGTAGAATCAGCCTTCCTGGACATGAGGGCTGGAATCTTCAATTTTCTTGGACTCATCAAAAAAGACCTGAGCTCAAAAAGACCATCTCGTTCATTATAATCAAAGTGTTGTACAACTATAAATACATTTTCCGAATATTAAACTGTATAAAGTTATAACAAGCAGATAACAATTACTTTGGTGACTTTCGCTTATTATTACCGTGTCAGAATAATTCCATTCTAACCCATTAGAGACAAAACATAAATTGAAATGTGATTATTTGGTCACACTTTTACCAATAAATTACCTTATTAATGAAATGCACATTATGCTTCAAGTAAAATGCATAAACTTTGTTTAACATTTATGCAACATCTCTATTTAACTCTCTTTTTAAAAATATTTTTATATTTAAACCAAAATACATTGCTTTCAGCTCCATGAATTAAGATAAATTACATTTTTACTGTCTTTAACCAATGAAATTAACAATTTACAATCAAATACCTTTCATGTAATCTATAATTATGAATTTCTATGAAATCTATAATTTCTATGAATTTACTGTAGTAAACCTGGTTTACTGCAGATATTTGGTTCAATAATTAAATAAAATGTCCACTGTAACAAAATCCTCTGTAAATTAACTTAAAGTGTGCAAAATAACGTTTTTCAATCACTATCATCGAAACAACATGACATGTGATCATACAGTAATTAACACAAGTGAGAGCTAGCTTACCAAGGGATGGTGTTGTGTTTACCCACTAACTTCGCTCCCTCTGTGCTCATCCACGCTCTAGACAGGATTTTTACAAAGTTAACACCATTAACTGACACAACCAAAAGTTTGAGCACCGAAAATGAGTGAATGAAAGAGCAGGGCTCCGTGAGTCAATTAACGAAGTTAAGCTAGTTGCACTTTTCTAAGCATCGCACTTCCTGTATTATCAAAATAAAACTTCCGGTTTTCAAAATAAAACCCAGTATCAATAAAAGTATGTAGAAAACAACAAAAATAGTACTTGAACCCTAACTGGTGGGTTACATATAGATACCTAAAAAGTGTACTTAAGTACAGTAACAAAGTATTTGTACTTTGTTACTTGACAGCTCTGCTGATATCATAGAGCTACAAAACCAGAAAGGAGCAGCGTTCTTCTTCTGCAGCAGCAGTTTTATACGACGTTCACACCGGACGCAGCAGGCGCAGCAGAAGCAGCGAGTTTACATGCAAAGTCAATGGTTGACGCGCGTCAAGGTGCAGCAAAATGTCCTGCAGCGCGTTTTGAGCAGCTAAAGCAGCGCGACGGGAACGTTTAAAGGAATAGTACACCCAAAACATGATTAGCCTTCATTTTCTACTCACCCCCATGCTGAACAACACTCTGGAGTACTTTTTTGATATCTCAAATGCATCTGGAGATCTGGGAGGCTTCTTGCTGTCTGCTGACATTCAAATAATGGAGGTCTATGGCGCCCGAGGCAGAAAGGTCCATAAAAGTCCACAAAAAACGTGTCAATATTCCTCCATACTGCTCGTCCAATGTATTCCAAGTGTCCTGAGTGGGTAGCGTCCATAATTTACTCGAAACAAAGTCATTTAGAATGTTTTTAGAGCATAAACAGTAGTGTATAGGATTTCCTAAAAGCGCATTCACGAGTCTATGGAAAACGCGGCAGACCAAACCAGACGAAAGTGCGCATTCAGCGTCTGCTCTGCCGATAATGCAAGCGTAGAAGAAGAAATGTACTGTTTACCTGTGCAAAGAAAGAAACAATGAAAGAAAAATGTCTGAGGACTTCAGTGTTGAGGAAGAGCATGAGTTCTTTGCCGAGCTGAATGCGCACTTTCGTCTGGTTTGGTCTGCCGCGGTTTCCGTAGACTCGTGAACTCGCTTTTTTTAATCAGTGAAGCTAAACTGGCTATTT